TGAAGGATCCGGATCAGGATACGAACGACGTGAACAAGTGTTTGCAATTGATCTACTAATTGCAGGAGAAAATGTGCAAGCACAAAGATACGTACAATCGTTTCAATGTCATGATCTTTGGATTCATGGGTGGACACTTTGATCAGCAGATGCAGAACGTCAACGCAATGTTCCAATGGAGAGACAAGTTCCAAAAGATTGTATTGATGTCAGACTACAGTGAGGTTACTAATGCGTGACGTTTGGCATGCCATTACACCTAATTTCGATTTTGAAACGCGTACATGCGGTAAGATTCCAATTGCAGGACCGTGAAAAGAAATAACGACGTCGGAAATGAAGTGGAACCTGAGTCCGGGATGGAGACAGGCTTTGGTGGTCTCCATCCCCCGACTCAGGTTCCACTTCATTAGATGCTCTGATTACGTAAAAGACTCGACTAATCAGGTGGAGGTGGTAACATCGCATCCGACGATAGAGCTAAAGAAGAAGTAGCTTGAGTTAAAATCAAGGGTAACATATGATAAGATCAATGAATTAATCAATCACGTCTTATATATGAAGCAATAACTGGAAGACTCCATTGAATTTGAATGGCCTTGTAACATACATGATTATGTATGTACTACACAATACGCACCATAAACTAGTATTTGCTTTTCTAATTACAATCGCGTGCCACTTGTTGCAATAAAAGCGGCATTTGTACAGAAAATAAATGACTGGAGCAGAGGATGATACGACTATTTTCAGAACGTCATTGTTTTCCGAATGTCATAACCCTTTTGTTGTTATTTTGAATTTAGCCGCATCCATAACAGGAAGATCGTTCGTAATTATATAAGATCTGTAAATGAGGAATACAATGATGATCAAATCTTTCATTTTCAGACTAGAGTTTCTGAATCGAGGCGGTTGTAACTGCCTTTAGCGATGAGAAGTTTACTCTGAGTATTTCCACTAGTATATAAAGTACAGACTGTAAGTGTATATATGTTACTAAGTATTTCGTGGAAAGAGATGATGAATTTTTACATTCTATTAACCATCTTTCGGGACTGATATTCCAAGTATTTGATGCATAACAAACCAATTCTGATCTTTTCTTTATAGAATATTATTCCTTGCTTCTCTATAGCTTTCATTCTAAGTAATTGCTTCGTACTTCACTATCCGATACAATACATGCCAATCTTGTTTTTATTGCACTAGCAAGGTAGATCAATTGCCTTATGCAAATCAACACGATCTAGACGACAACAACCAAGAACTTGCTTTGGTAATTCCTCTTGTCCTCTTCCTTGGATCATAAAAATCAATCACCAAGCGTGACGTCCTGTCAATGAAAGAATGAATGCCTCGACATGCAATAGGAGAGAAAGCATAGACATCCACGACAACTTCGGTGCTGCCGTCTTGAAAATAATACATTCGACGCAGCGGTCGCGTAAGCACGGTGTTGCATTGCGACTCGCCAATTGTTTTGGATTCTTTCACTCCTACGAAACTACGCAAGATCAAAATTAGTATCTTGAAGTGCATACTTTCCTTACGTGTTAGCGTTGACTAAACTCAAAGATTTGGTCTGGAATCTTACAGTAGTAAAGAGCTAAGCTGTCACCTGGACCATCGTAAATTATCACTCGATACACTTCATCCGTATGACGGAAGCTAAATAATCTACATAAAGATAACGTTAGAACTGCTGTTTCCATCCAATGACGTATACTCTTGACTATACCGTAGCATTAATGATAAAAAGTCGTCTGGTTTCATGCTACGACGTAAACCTTTTTATGTAATATGTGAACTTAGCTAAGTCTACTTATGTTAGGGCCTACTTGATCGCACCTAGTAGAATGTAGCAGTACACCCGTTACAAAATGCGTCTGTTCTACCATGTCAAGCATGTTTGTGCTCAACATATACCACCCGAGACTGCTTCATCCTTATCGACATGGAAGCTGCGAAGATTCAAATGGCAACATGAAGAAGAGACTGCATGGTCATGAATCTTAACCGTGTAGTGATCCAGAAAAAGCTGCGTGCACAAAGTGTCGCGTCCAGAGGGTTCAGGTCGGGGAGTGAACGATGGACATTGTATAGATGGATCTACGGATAAACCACTGCGACACTGGTAGTCAAATCCTGCCATGCTGTCAATGGGCAGCACTTTGGCTCACTGTGACATGTAAAGTCAAATAGGCGGTTGCAACCGATTTAAGGACGCACCGAATGGATGTATAATTTGATAGTGTCTTTATTACGTATTTCCGAGCTACAACTATCTCGTAGGCAAGACTTTGCTTGCTTTATGTCGTTCACTCTGCATTGATAGCCTAGAGGGGACGGACGATATTAGTGTGTGTGTCTGAATGCTCTAAAACGCTATAGGCTTTCGGTCTCGTGTATCCAGCTTCAGATTATCGAGCTTAATTACGCATGACTAGTCTCAAAAGAGACGGATTTTCGTGTACTAAACAGTAATGAGTTTGTTGTGTTACTATCATAATTAGTTCGTTGGACTCTTAAATTGTAATCAACATAGTTTCATAGTCAAGTCAAATGGTTGCGTAGAATATTGTTTCTTCTTCCTCTATAAAATAGCAATGACGCTCCATTACCCAGAACTGCCTGTGCAAGAACATTCGAACTTGTTCTGGTCCAGCCCGAATGATGCACCACATCTTACAGTGCTTCTTCTCAATGCTACATATGATTCTTGGCACGTGTGGCCAAGAGCGGTATGGAGTTACACATCTTTGAGCTGTTTGTGAACATGTGGAGCCATGCGCAACTCACGGTATGCGCCGACGGTGGCGCTAATCGTCTATGTGATCGTAGTGTCGATATTAAAACACAGGAACTCGTCAAAACTCATTACATAAAAGGTGACTTGGACTCATTGCGTGATGATGTTCGTGAGTTTTCTATTGCCAAAGGAACGACGGTACTGAAGGATCCGGATCAGGATACGAACGACGTGAACAAGTGTTTGCAATTGATCTACTAATTGCAGGAGAAAATGTGCAAGCACAAAGATACGTACAATCGTTTCAATGTCATGATCTTTGGATTCATGGGTGGACACTTTGATCAGCAGATGCAGAACGTCAACGCAATGTTCCAATGGAGAGACAAGTTCCAAAAGATTGTATTGATGTCAGAGACTACAGTGAGGTTACTAATGCCTGACGTTTGGCATGCCATTACACCTAATTTCGATTTTGAAACGCGTACATGCGGTAAGATTCCAATTGCAGGACCGTGAAAAGAAATAACGACGTCGGAAATGAAGTGGAACCTGAGTCCGGGATGGAGACAGGCTTTGGTGGTCTCCATCCCCCGACTCAGGTTCCACTTCATTAGATGCTCTGATTACGTAAAAGACTCGACTAATCAGGTGGAGGTGGTAACATCGCATCCGACGATAGAGCTAAAGAAGAAGTAGCTTGAGTTAAAATCAAGGGTAACATATGATAAGATCAATGAATTAATCAATCACGTCTTATATATGAAGCAATAACTGGAAGACTCCATTGAATTTGAATGGCCTTGTAACATACATGATTATGTATGTACTACACAATACGCACCATAAACTAGTATTTGCTTTTCTAATTACAATCGCGTGCCACTTGTTGCAATAAAAGCGGCATTTGTACAGAAAATAAATGACTGGAGCAGAGGATGATACGACTATTTTCAGAACGTCATTGTTTTCCGAATGTCATAACCCTTTTGTTGTTATTTTGAATTTAGCCGCATCCATAACAGGAAGATCGTTCGTAATTATATAAGATCTGTAAATGAGGAATACAATGATGATCAAATCTTTCATTTTCAGACTAGAGTTTCTGAATCGAGGCGGTTGTAACTGCCTTTAGCGATGAGAAGTTTACTCTGAGTATTTCCACTAGTATATAAAGTACAGACTGTAAGTGTATATATGTTACTAAGTATTTCGTGGAAAGAGATGATGAATTTTTACATTCTATTAACCATCTTTCGGGACTGATATTCCAAGTATTTGATGCATAACAAACCAATTCTGATCTTTTCTTTATAGAATATTATTCCTTGCTTCTCTATAGTCTTTCATTCTAAGTAATTGCTTCGTACTTCACTATCCGATACAATACATGCCAATCTTGTTTTTATTGCACTAGCAAGGTAGATCAATTGCCTTATGCAAATCAACACGATCTAGACGACAACAACCAAGAACTTGCTTTGGTAATTCCTCTTGTCCTCTTCCTTGGATCATAAAAATCAATCACCAAGCGTGACGTCCTGTCAATGAAAGAATGAATGCCTCGACATGCAATAGGAGAGAAAGCATAGACATCCACGACAACTTCGGTGCTGCCGTCTTGAAAATAATACATTCGACGCAGCGGTCGCGTAAGCACGGTGTTGCATTGCGACTCGCCAATTGTTTTGGATTCTTTCACTCCTACGAAACTACGCAAGATCAAAATTAGTATCTTGAAGTGCATACTTTCCTTACGTGTTAGCGTTGACTACACTCAAAGATTTGGTCTGGAATCTTACAGTAGTAAAGAGCTAAGCTGTCACCTGGACCATCGTAAATTATCACTTGATACACTTCATCCGTATGACGGAAGCTAAATAATCTACATAAAGATAACGTTAGAACTGCTGTTTCCATCCAATGACGTATACTCTTGACTATACCGTAGCATTAATGATAAAAAGTCGTCTGGTTTCATGCTACGACGTAAACCTTTTTATGTAATATGTGAACTTAGCTAAGTCTACTTATGTTAGGGCCTACTTGATCGCACCTAGTAGAATGTAGCAGTACACCCGTTACAAAATGCGTCTGTTCTACCATGTCAAGCATGTTTGTGCTCAACATATACCACCCGAGACTGCTTCATCCTTATCGACATGGAAGCTGCGAAGATTCAAATGGCAACATGAAGAAGAGACTGCATGGTCATGAATCTTAACCGTGTAGTGATCCAGAAAAAGCTGCGTGCACAAAGTGTCGCGTCCAGAGGGTTCAGGTCGGGGAGTGAACGATGGACATTGTATAGATGGATCTACGGATAAACCACTGCGACACTGGTAGTCAAATCCTGCCATGCTGTCAATGGGCAGCACTTTGGCTCACTGTGACATGTAAAGTCAAATAGGCGGTTGCAACCGATTTAAGGACGCACCGAATGGATGTATAATTTGATAGTGTCTTTATTACGTATTTCCGAGCTACAACTATCTCGTAGGCAAGACTTTGCTTGCTTTATGTCGTTCACTCTGCATTGATAGCCTAGAGGGGACGGACGATATTAGTGTGTGTGTCTGAATGCTCTAAAACGCTATAGGCTTTCGGTCTCGTGTATCCAGCTTCAGATTATCGAGCTTAATTACGCATGACTAGTCTCAAAAGAGACGGATTTTCGTGTACTAAACAGTAATGAGTTTGTTGTGTTACTATCATAATTAGTTCGTTGGACTCTTAAATTGTAATCAACATAGTTTCATAGTCAAGTCAAATGGTTGCGTAGAATATTGTTTCTTCTTCCTCTATAAAATAGCAATGACGCTCCATTACCCAGAACTGCCTGTGCAAGAACATTCGAACTTGTTCTGGTCCAGCCCGAATGATGCACCACATCTTACAGTGCTTCTTCTCAATGCTACATATGATTCTTGGCACGTGTGGCCAAGAGCGGTATGGAGTTACACATCTTTGAGCTGTTTGTGAACATGTGGAGCCATGCGCAACTCACGGTATGCGCCGACGGTGGCGCTAATCGTCTATGTGATCGTAGTGTCGATATTAAAACACAGGAACTCGTCAAAACTCATTACATAAAAGGTGACTTGGACTCATTGCGTGATGATGTTCGTGAGTTTTCTATTGCCAAAGGAACGACGGTAC